AAGGGTAGGGGTCAGTGAAGGAGAGGAAGACCCTCAACCAGGTGGATTGACATAGTGACTGCTGCAAAGGGCTCTTCTGTGTCAGGAAGTGTGAGGTTGCTGAAGCATAGAACAGGGTTCAAATCTTTTGTTCATACGGTCACTGTGAGTTGTACTCAACTCAATGGCACCTAATAACCACAACAACAATATACATTAATGAAACACATTCATTGTATACGAATGCATGTCAATTAAAAAAAGAATTCTATTCTTATATTCTTCTATAAGAATTGCATACTGTCTAAATAAACTCACTTTTTAAATTTAAGGATAAAAAAGAAACAACATTATAATTAACAAGAGAATACGCCAAGGTTTCTAGATATACAATTTTTGAAGTTGCATTCTTTTATACCTAATGAGGAGCTCTGGTAGCTTGTTGTTGTTATGCACCACTGAGTCCATGATGACTAATAGTGACTCTATGAACAACAGCAGCTCTGGATCTTGCCCTACCCAGAGCCAGTATTACCATTTCTGACACACTTGTCCCACTGTCACAGTCACTATCTATCTCATCCCAGGTCTTCCTCTCCTACACGGTCCTTCCACCCTTCCGAGTATGTTCTTCTCCAAGGATTGATCCCTCTTGGCAACATGCCCAAAGTCTACGAGATGAAATTTCAAAATTCTTGCCCTCAAGGAACAACCTGGTTTCACCCTCTCCAGGACATACATGTTTGTTCTTGTGACAGTCCAAGACATGTTTAATACTCATCTCCAGCACCACAACTCAAACCTGATGGCTTAGTGGTAAGAAATTTTGCTACCAATGAAAAGGGTAGGAAGTTCAAGTCCAGCAGCTGCTCGATAGAGGAAAAAAATGAGCAGTCTCTTTCTGTGCAATTAACTGCCTCTGAAAATCGACTGGAGCATCAACTATGGGTCGATTCCAACTTGATGATACTTAGTAAAAACAACAGTATACATACAGTAAACAACACATTTCATTTTTAATATGTCACGTTCCTAAAAAATTAATCTCTACAATAGCATGAAAAGATATAAGCCATTAAGGAAAAGTATATCAACTAATAAGAGTATCAAGCATTTAGATTTGTATTGAGAAAATAATACTATTTTTGGAAGCCCTTACAGAAGTCCTAATGAAATAAAATTATATGTATTAAAAGTTCATATCTTTGTTGTTGTTGTTATGTGCCGTCGACTCATAGTGACCCTATGCACAACAGCCCTAAACCCTGCTCTATCCTGTGCCAATCGCACTGCCTCTGACACACCCATCCCGATTACCCCAGTCACTGAATCAATCCATCTCATAGAGGGTCTTCCCCTCTTGCGTCGTCCCTCCACCCTCCTAGGCATGATGTCCCTCTCCAAGGACCTGTCCCTCCTTGCAACATGCCCAAAGTATGTCAGATGAAGCCCCTAAGTATTGTCTAGGAAAGAATGACAGTGGCTCACATCCTTCTGATGGCAATCAGCCTCTTTGAAAGCTAACTTAACCGTCTGTCCCTTGAAGTTTTGGTGCTTCTCCGGGAGGTCACGGAGCTCACATGAATGAGGGATGTGCACCAGGGTTTAAAGCAGCATTGTTTCTCTTCAAATAAAAGAAAAAACAGCTAGAGGAAGAAGGAATTATGATGCAATCATTGAAAACAATGTAGTGAAGTAGAATAAACTTGAAGTATTTGTATGGGTATTTTGACAGAAAAAAGTGATACTCAGAGATGGATTCTTTTTCTATTGTTTACAGTTTGGAAAACCTATTATAAGTTGCTTAGGGAATTTTAGAGAAAATCTTGTGGAACAATGGGATTCTCTCTGTATTATCACTGTTCAGTGGATTTGGAACTGACTCATAATTAACCCTCCTTTGGGTTTCCAAAGGTGTAAATTATGCAAAAGGAGATTGTCCATCTTTCTCTCATGGAGGTGCTGGTAAATTCAAACCACCAGAGAGATGTGGCCATTAGGTCAGCAGCACAACCTTAGGGAGGACAGCACCAGAGTTCCTTACCTGGGAGCAATAAGCCCAAACTTGGCCTCCAGCCTGCTCTGGAGATGGAAGGGAAGTAGTGTTTGCAAGACACATCAGTGATGAAAGCCACAGCACTTTTCCCCCGATGAGTGGTGGTAGATGTATCATTCTTTCTAAAGTTTTGTATGTATTAATACAAAATAATTTTTAAAAAGGAATACAAATTTTTAATTTTTTAAAAAAATCCAATAAACCTTTGGGGAGTTAAGAGTGACCTCACACTAAGCACAGAGTTGGTTTGAGAGCTAGAAGTATTTCTACCTCTTCCTTTGTTTTTCTTTGCCCTCTCCTCTTTCCACATGATCTCTCTCTCAAATAGTTGTAAACTGTAAAATGTAAAATGAGACCCTACTTTACTATTTTTTTATTTTTTGAAATATTTATCATCAATGTTTACACATTTCAAAAGACTCATTTCAACTGTCTTGGAAAATTTGCACCTCATTTCTTCTGAACTAAAAGCATTTTCTATTAGGAAAAAATAATGTCTATTATTTATATCACTTTAGAAAATAAATCTACAAGCTGATTTATCTGATAATTATTGCATATAATTACTAATCTTATGGCAGAGTTTATACTCACATTTTCACCAGCCTGGTGGTCCGTGTGTGCAAGTAATCACAAGTTTTTTGGATCACGTGCTTTTTCGGGCTTATGTTTGAAGTGCACTACTGCTCTTCCCCTCAGGAGTGATGCCCTTGAGGCTTGGCCTGGGGTTTAAGGCAGGCTGTGGCTTAAAGCCCCAATTCTTCTAGGTGGTATAGCACTGGTCTGTGCATTGTTGTACAAATTTGTGGTTGCCTTGATGCTAAATACTGTGACACTGATGTACCAAATGTGATAATGGTTACCCATGGTGGACAGTATTTGGTGGAACATCCCGAATAAAACAAGCTTGGAAGCAGAAGTGGCATCCACTTCTGAAATGGCTTGGCTTGCCTCCAGAAACTCTATGAACAGTGCTCAGGCCTTTCATCATAGGGTCACTATGAGTCGTCTACTACTCGACACCATCTAACAGCAACAACAAGGCAAATGAATCCCAGATACTTAAAAATTTGGTTAAAATAGGCAAACCACAAAAAACCTTTGACAACCTGCTTAAGAAAGCTCTTACTGAATCTTTCTTTCCCACTCATTTTTATTTTTATTATTTCTTTCCCTCTCTCCCTCTCAGTAAACAGCTTCAATTTGTCTTAGATTTCTCATTGTAAAGAAAAAGCACATTTGCTGTCTTGTCATTAATGGAGTTAGAGAGTAATTGCTTGTCCTCCTGTGAGGTTTCCAAAGGCTCATTTTCAGAAGAAAATTGCTCAGCCTTCCTCCTCGGGTGTCTCTATGTAGACTTGAATCTCCAGCCTTTGGTTAAAAATAAGGCTGTTGATCATCTGTGCCACCTCAGGACACCCTCTCTCTCTCTGATGATGTGGTCTGTCTGTCACACGCACATTACCATTGTTATTGCCATTAAGCCTGTCCCCACTCATAACCACCTGCATGTGCACAGCTGGGTCGGAAGGCTGCAGCCCTTTGGGAGAGGATGACACAGAGATCCTCACAAACAGACAAGGAATCCCAGGTGTGTATAAACCAACCATCTTTGTACTAACAGTGAGGTCCATGTACAACACTACACACACAGACCCTCTCAGACAGACTGAGACCCTCACAGACAGATACACATCCATGCACCCAAATCCTAACAGATACACAGAGACCCTCATAGACAGACAGAAACACAGACACACAGAGAGAAACAGAAAGAGAGAGAGAGATAAGGAGGGAGGAACGGAGGGAGGGGGAGAGAGAGAAAAAGAGAGAGTGCGCCCATTCACAGACTCACACACATTTTTAAGACTAAGAAGTAGAGCTCTCCCTAGTACGGAAGATCCCTGTTACATTTTATATGATGCACACAGGTAATGTTAGGTGCAATGGATTTTTCTTCCATAAGGTAGAGGGAATACCCTGTGGATAATTCATTACTGCCTACTGACAGGCTAGTGCCTTAACATTTTAAAGAAGTAAAACATCAATTATCTGTCATAAATAAGTCCCATCTTCTCTCTCCTTCCTGGCAGGCCCCATCATGACCTTCTCATTTCATGCTCGCTGGCTTTTATCATTTATATTACATTCGTTGTCGAGCTTAACCTCCCAGTCAGATTGCCATTTTCTCTCTGGTTTGTCCCAAGTGTATTTGAATTACCACCAAATTGCTCTGAGATGCTGTCCACATTGCCAAATGAAACACAGATGTAATTATCATGAAGCTTAGGCCCTTCTGACCCAGTCTATATAGGAGCTCTGGCCTATGTGAATGTCTGCTGGACAAGCAGATATCAGAGCGTGGAGATCCGAAGTCAGCACTGGCCATGGTGTGAGCATCTCACCCTTGGCTTTCCCACCCATTGACACATCTGTGTATTCAGTTGTTGTTGTTGTTGTGTGCCCTGGAGTCAGAACTGACCCATAGCTGACCCTTAGTGGGTTTGCAGAGCTGGTGGATTCAATCTTCCTGCCTTTAAGACAATAGCATGGTTCTTTCCCACTAGGCCACCAGAGCTCCCCTAACTTAGTTATCAAGTACATATCCTGACTCTGCCAGATCCTGTAAATGTTAAAGAAACAGCACCATCAGGGTCAGGGGACAGCTGGAAGTCCCTGATGGTGGAATGATTAAATGTCCTCACAGGATGCTGAAGAAAGGCCTGGTGCTCTGATTTCCTGAATGAGCCATGGGAGCCTGTGGAGCAGAGCTTGACTCTGACACACACCTGGAGGTGGCATTGATCCCACATGCTAGGTAGAACGAGGCTTGGTACTGTAGGTGAACATAGAGGCTGCCCCTGGAGTTATATCTAAAGGCAGCCTTTCCTTTACTAGATGAGAGGGTAGCACAACCTGGCCAGACCCCCTCTGGTTAAGATATGTTCTGTGTTCCCCATATCAGGGTGAAAAAGAGAAATGACCTCACTGGAGCCTTCAAGCTGGACCCCGTCTATCTGAAGCATAGTCACCAAGATTCAGGTGAGCCAGTGCACCTGTATTTACAGGCTGTGTTAAGGTCTGGCTACCTGAGAGCTAGACTGTGACAGCCTTGTGATCTGTCAGCCAGAACTGTGGCACTTTGTGACTGACCAGCTAGAGCAGAACATGTGACAGGCTTGTTATCGATCAGCCAGAACATGTGGCAAGCTTTGTGATTGATCAGCCAGAACAGCCTTTGGACCAATCAGCAAAGTAGGACTGCAGCCTTCCCTCATCATTCTCACCTAACTCCTGGCCAACAGTGACTCTTCTGTTGAACCCAAGATGTTGTTGTTGTTGTTTAATGCCGTCGAGTCGTAGACTACTCATAGCGACCCTATGAACGAACAGCCTAAGCACTGTTCGTACATAGAGTTTCCGGAGGTAAGCCATTTTGGAAGTGGATGCCACTCCTGCTTCCAGGCTTGATTTAGTCGGGAAAGAAAACAACTTAACAGATGGACACTGAGTATTTATTCTGTGCCAGGTATCAGCATGAGCTCAGTGGAGTTAACAGGCTATCAAGATTAGGGAGCTCTGGTGGCCTAGTGAAGGCACACAGTTCAAATCCACCAACTGCTCTGCAGGACAAGGATGGACAGTCTGCAGTGTTCCCTTTTATAACCTCTGAAAACCCACTAAAGGGTCAGCTCTGACTTAACAGTACACAGCAGCAACAATAGGAAGAAAGTCCTACTTCTAAATATCAGCTAGTGAAAATCCTATGGCTTAAAATTGCATGGTCTGCAGCTGACCTTGGGAGTAGACAGTACTGGACATTACATTGTTCTTATGCCCATGGAGTGGACACAGTCCAGGCCAGCCTCTTGGCAGCCAACAACCATGATATTCTTTAACTATCAAATGTGTCTAACAGTTTACTTTTTCTTTCTTTTTTTCAGGACTCATCACTGACTATAGAGTAAGTGGAATGTTTGCTCCAAGATCTAAGTCAGTTTCAATCCAAGTATGAGGGTAATTATAGGGGTTAGAACTCTGTAGCCTCCATGACTCCATGTTTGGGGTCCCACAGAAGGACTCCTTCTAATGTGTTCCTAACCAGGTAGGCGGGACTCCCCTAGCCAGGTAATGGCTTTTCAGAGTTCACTGACCAGACATCCTGGGTTAGGGGGAAGGGGAATCCTGAATGTGCTTATAGGAAGAAAGAGGAGAACTCAAATCCCTCCATGAGAAAGGGGTTCCATCTCACAAAAGGGTCCCCAGTTATTGCTACATGGCTAGGACTGGCCTGGGGAGGGCAGCAGGAGACAGAGTCAGAGAATCCAAAAGCCTCTGGTGGAGTCGGTCAGCACAGCAGCCTTGTTACAATTGCCAGGTTTGTTGTTCTTTTTATCTGGTGTTTATTAATGTTTCTTTTGAAAATACCATGCTATCCTAGCCTTACTCTGAAAGGGAATTTGTAGTTGAATATTGATGTTCTTCATTGCCATTGAGTAGGATACCCAGTACATACCAACCCCTTATATAACAAAAGCACAGAGAATAAAACTACCTCTAAACCACCGTAAGTGGGGAAATACTGAAGTTGTCAACTATTCCGTTTTAGTTGGATCAACAATCAATATCCATGGAAACAGCAGTTCAGTTAAGAGATCAAACAGTGTACTGCATTGGGCAGATCTGCTGTCAAGGATCTCTTTATAGTGCTTTAAAGACTAAGGTGCACCTGACCCAAGCCACAGCTAGCTGAGCAGAATATGACCATAACTGATGACAACCTAGCAATGGTGCTCTCAAAAGTACAGACACATCACTCCTTCTTCAGGGCCCCTATTCTGTCATACCTGCTAACCAGCTATAGATAGCAGTGAGATATCTGCAGGTTTGGGGAACCAGGAGGCCCTGCCAAACCATCAAGGCTTGTTCTTAGGTTTTTTGGGCAAAGCTTTCCTGGTACCAACCCAACCATCCCCACAACCAGGAGGAGAAAAAAAACAGGATGCTGTGAGGTTACTGAAGTATTTTTAACTTTTTAATCCCGTGCTACATGGTTATTCTCTCTATTTATCTATTATATCTATTTCTCTATTATCTCACTACTTAGTTAACTGTTTTCCTATGGAAAAATTATGGCTTTGATTAATTGCATTGTTTGCTTGTGATGAGTGATTTCCCAGTTTATCAGGCCTCAAATGGAGTAACTCAGCCCAAGGACATGACAACTTCATATCTTGTTTTTTTTCATTAAACTTTACTCCTTCATAATTTAAGTATCATTAGGGGAAAATTCACATTTGATAACAGAAGATATCTGCTAAAACAAACCAAAAAAATCGCATCAGTTCTCCAGGGATTGAACCCCTTTTAAAGATGTGAACCTTCATTAAGTTGATGCCTTTAAATTATGGTATTGGTAAAGAATACTGTCTATACTATGGACAGCCAGAAACAAACAAATGACTTGGAAGAAGTGCAGCCAGAGGGCTCATTGGAGATGAGAATGGTGAGACTCTCTTGTATACGTTGACTATATTGTCATATCAGGCCAGTTTCCATACAAGACTTCATTCTCAGTAAAGTAGACAGTTGGTGAGGGAGAGGAAGACCCTTAAGGAGATGGATTGACACAGGCCTGCAACAATGGACTTGAGCATGACGTGATTGTGAGCCTGGTTCAGGAACTGGCAGTATTTCATGTTGACTCAACTGCACCAAACAGCAACAACCTTTAAAAAGCTTCATCCTGTATTGTTGTTAGCAACACTGCTTTTGCTTCATTGCCCAAGGATGAAAAGTATATTAGCTATGTCTGAATTGAACAGCAAAAGCAACAGGATTGCCTCAGATAGGCTTGTAAGGTTCACCAAAGAATGAAATGAGGCCATCTGCTTAGAAAATTTGAAAGACTAAAGAGTTTTTACTTTCCTGGTCTTTTCTTTTTTGAAACTCTTTCTGCATAAGTCAAAACTCTTCTTCAGTGTTCTTCAATTCTCCAGCTGCCTTCTGTCTTCTCCATCACCCTTCTCACACAACCATTCACCCATCTGAGTTAGATGGGTTGGGAGTCTGGTATCAGTCTTGTCTCCATCTGTTCTCAGTGGTGAACCTTGTTCTCCTGGGCATCAATGCCTTCAAGATGTATTGCTTTCCCTGCTGCTAAACTATAAAACTCTTTGAACTTTGATAAATGTCGATAATTACAGAAAGGCTTCAGGCCTTTTGTTCAAAGGGGCGTGCTCAACTCAAAAGCAATCAACAACAATCAAACAATAAAAATGATATCTGTTAGTTTCTTAAAGCATTTCTTAAAGTGAGTTTTTGTCATTTTGTTATTGCAACGATTGTTGTTGTTGTTGTTATGTGCCGTGGAGTCACTTGCGACTCATAGTGACCCTATGTACAACAGCCCTAAACTCTGCTCTGTCTTGTGCCAATCGCACCATCTCTGACACATCCATCCCAATTACCCCAATCACTGAATCAATCCACCTCATAGGGGGCCTTCTCATTCTGCACTGTCCCTCCACCCTCCCGAGCATGATGTCCTTCTCCAAGGACCTGTCCCTCCTTGCAACATGTCCAAAGTATGTTAGACGGAGCCTCAGAATCCACAAAACAAAAACTCATGGCCATTCAGTCAGAATGCTGATGCACTGATTCCAGTGGGCATTTTGAGGCTATCAATCACATGGGAGGAAAAAGTTTATCTTTCTCCCTCAGAGTTGTGGGTGAAATCAAACAGTGAGTGAAGCATCACCTTAGGATTAGCAGTACAACTCCCTATGGACCTAGTTTGTACAAATACTACAAGTAGTTGGCTTTAAAGAACAAAAAAAATTTTTTTTCTCAATTCTGCAAGTTGAAAGTTCAAATCAGGGTCTCAGTTATTTGTGTTGTCCTTGTCCCTGGTCTCAGGGCTCCTTGGTCCCTTGGCTATCGATGATCCTGGCATAGTGCCTGTCTTTACTAGTTTGTGTGCATGTGTCTGTGTCTCTACTGCTCCTTAAAAGAGTTTGTATTAAGGATCCACCCTACACTATTGTGACTGTGATTTATAGATCTTACTTACACCTGATTACATTTTGGAAGGGGATTACATTACAGTAGAGATGATCACCTGGTAGATTAAGAGGCACATGTAGTGTGTGGATTGGTTTTTATTGCACAGCCCACTTGCTGCTTTATGCACCAAGTGGCCAGGTAAGGGTTAAGCATCACCAGCAGCCAGACCCCTATTCTCACCATTTAGAACCTCACAGCTTCTGCAGGGGCCATACTCCACCGTGTGTGATGGACTAACACCTGCTCTAGGTGAATAGTCGGCTGCTCCTCTCAGGTCTGTGAGACAGACACCCTGAGATCCATGTGGGCAGGCTCTGCTTCTGTGTTATCACATTTTCCTGTATCCAAGGACCAGGAGGGAAAAGGGCAAGGAAGAGATGGTTACCCTGAACACTTAATTTATAGGCCAAAATACCATAACACTCTCTGAAAAGCAAAATCATAAATGATCTAGGAAGAATCAAATGAAGATGTAGGGAATACACAGAGTCACAGTACCAAAAAGAACTGACCAACACAGATATATATCTAGAAATACATATGATAATGAAGTCATGAAGCCAGTAGTAATGAAGAAAGAATTGAAGACATTGGCAAAAAATAAGGCCCCAAGAATTGATGAGATATCGATAGACACATTTCAACTGAAAGAAGCAGCCCTGGACTCATGAGTCTATGCCAGGAAATTTAAAAGACATCTCCTAGCTGATTGACTGGAAGAGGCCCATATTTGTTCTTATTCCAAAGAAGGGTGATCCAACAAAATGTGGACATTTTCAAACAAGATCATTAATATCATGTGCAAGCAAAATACTGCTAATGATCATTAAACAACAGCTAGAACAGTACGTTGAACAGAGAACTTGTAAAAGTTCAAACTGGATTTAGAAGATTGATGATGTCAAATGGACATCATCTTTGAAAGCAAAGAATACCAGAAGAATGTCTATTGTGTTTTATTGATTATGCAAAGGCATTTTAGTATGTAGATCATAACAAATTATGGTTAATATTGAGAAAAATGGAAATCCCAGAACACTTAATTGTGATCATGTAAAATCTATACCTAGACCAAGAGGATATGATCTCTCCAGAGCAAGGGAACATTGTTGTTTTTGTTATTAGGTGCCATCAAGTCGCCTGCAACTCACAGCAACCCTATGTACAACAGCCCTAAACCCTGCTCTATCCCAAGAGCAATGATGTCAGTTTGAGGACTAAAGTGCATCTGATTTAGGCAATTGTCTTTTCAATCACTTGCTGTGCATCTGAGATGGACAATGACAAAGAATGACAGAAGAAATAATAATGCCTTTGAACTATGGTATTGGAGAAGAGGACTCAATATCCCAGGTACCCTCAAAAGTACAAACAAACCTTGGAGAACTTCCAACAAGAATGCTCCTTGGAGGCAAAAATAACAAAGTTTCTTTTCATACTTTAAGCATGTTGCTAGAAGAGATCATTCCTTGCAGAAGCACATCATGCTTAGAAAGGTGGAGGGTCAGCAAAAGAGAGAAAATCCTTACAAATTGATTGTCACAGTAACCGCAGCTGGAGTATATCAGAGATTGTGAGGATGGGTTCAGATCTGTTGTTCATAGACTCACTATGAGTATGCTTGACTCAACAGCACCTAGCAAGAGCAACAATTTTAAAAGCACAAGTGAAGCATGCCTCGTTTTTCTTCCTAAGTGTCCCCCTTGTTCTTTCCATCACAGTCCTCTCTTGTTTGCACTGTTAAATTTACAACCTTTGGAGGTTTATATACTGAATAACAACTATGTCAGCTGGTGAGCCCAGAACAGATGTTGAACAGAAATTGCAGAGGGAAACAGTATCTGAAGACCAGCCTATCTACTGTTTTCTAGTGAGGTATTGTGGTGGTTAGAGTTACAAAGTTGTCTGGCTCTTAGTGGTTTGACAGGTATGATGTAATCATTTTTATTTTGTGACTTGATGCAAGCATCCAGTCAATGGAAAGGGAATTTCCTTGGAGGTGTGCCCTGCATCCAATATATACAAATGCTCTAGCAAAACTAGCCTTCTCTTGTTTCCTGAAGCTATTATATTGTGAGCAAACACCCTGCCGACTGACTTGCAGAATTGGGGACTGGCTCATTCTCATGGTCATGTGAGCCAGCAGCCTGTCATCTGACCTGCAGGTTTGGGGTTTGTCAGGCCCTTCAATAATGTGAGTGAGGGGAATTTTCCATTATTACAGATGACCCATGGATTTGGGACTCCTCAGCATTTACCATTGTATGAGCCATTTTCTTAACAGAAAAGACCTAGTGGTAGGGAGCTGCTTACCAACCCAAGCACATGTTTAGAATCCACCAACTGCTCTGCTGGTGAAAGCTGGGCATTCTCCTCCTACACAGGGTTGGCGATGGGTTGTCTCCAACTCATGGCGTACCACAATAGCACTTTGCTTACATAAAGTAAGACCATCAATAAGTTGGATTGACACAGTGCCTGACATAATGGGCTCAGACATAAACACAATTAGGATGGCACAGGACTAGGTGATATTTCTTTCTGTGAATATAGGGTCACTCTGAGTCAGAATCTACCTGATGACACTCAACGATAGCATCTGTCTTTACTTACATGCCTTCTGATTTGTCCTTCTGGAGAACACAGAATGGGAGAAATAATCAGTATTGCTGCAGAAAATGGTACCAAGTCATTGGTAACAAGTGGCAGAGGTATGTGGGTCTCTGCTCCCTCCTTGCTGGTAAACAGAATCCATTGCTTGGGTCCTACGGTCCCACTGCTGGGTCATGCATCCAACACACAGGACTCACTGCATCCAGGAGAAACAGATCAACCAATGAGTCAAAGGGGAAGCCAACTTTTACTTTATTCCTCACTGATGTACTGCTTTGTGTTTTTATTTCAGCACTGGCAACTCCCCCTGGGCCGAAGATTTCGCTCCCTGAAAATGTGGTTTGTTTTCAGGATGTATGGGGTCAGAGGACTGCAAGCCTATATTCGCAAGGTGACACTGCTTTTGTCACTAGCCTAGGCAGTGCTATGGCTGCCTTCAGGGACATTAATAGTGAAGCAGGGTTAGCAGTGATCATGTCCCTAAGGGAATCAAATGGCAGTTTCACTTCTTGTGATTACTTGGCATGTGCTATTCTGCTTCTTTTAAGTCAATTTCATTAAGATAACAGGTTATCAGTTCCAGAAAGACTTCCAAGTGAATACATCATGTACATTTTACTTTAGCCACATTGAGCCAATAATGAGGTGCCTTTGATAATAGCAATTGTGAGAATATTCAGTGTTTTCTTCTCAATAAAGAAATCAACCTGGAAGAAACACAGGTGTGGGCAGGTGCATGTGGAGAGTTTAAGAATTCTCAATAGACCGCCTGGGACCAACAGCATCAGCATCGTCTGGGACTATTAGACATATGCTGTGCAGGAAGGCTCAGGATCTCTGCTCTATGGGACACTTAGGAGGCTATGGTGATGTTCGTGGTCATGTTAGGTACCATTTAGTCAACGCCTTGCCCTGTCCTGTGTCATCACATGATCTCTGCCTTGTTCAAGCCCACTGTGGTGGTCACTATGCCAATTTGTACTACAATTTGAGAGCAAGGATCTAGTCCAGTCCTATTCCACAGACACTGAGGTTTGATAGCTTACCAAGGTATAACCAAGCTTCATGAATTTAGCTAACCACTGGTCTTCCAAATCCTGCATCCTTCTTAAATGGTGGCCTCTTCCTAATGAACAGGAGTCAACAGGGTTCTCAGGATTGGGAGGCAAGTGTGGTTTCAGGAAGTGATGGTTATGTATGGACGCCTTCAGCTAGAGTCCTGGTGCAGCTAATGACTCACTGTGTGACTCTGAGCAGGCCCCGAGTGTCCCCAGCTCCTGTCTGCGGAAGGGGGGTGAATCCCACCAGGTGCCAGCAGCTGGTGCAAGAAAACTCCAGGAAATTGTAAAGCACAAAGGGAATCTGTTTGGTTGAAAGAAATAGGAAATAGCTGTATGTGCTAATATCCAAGCAAAATATACTTTCTGGCCCTGTGAGAGTGCTCTACTTGGGTTGGATGGAGCTTCTTTGGAGAAAGAAGGCATGAAGTAAGTGACTAATTTGTCTGTAATGAGCACTGCTTTATGCTTAGGAGCAGTTAGATGAAATTGTGTTGCCTCATACACAATTTATCATGGATGGATTTGAAGGCATCTCACTGAGTGAAATAAGTCAGACACAAAGGGAAAACAGCAATAGTAAGACTGCAAAGACCTCAGGGTGGTCCTAAGAATAGGCAGAAGGAAGGGAGACAGGTCTGAGGCTCCTTGTTTAGGGACGCTGAGCTCATGGTGAGAATGAGGAGGAAATTAGCACTCAGTGGTTATAGTTGAACAACAAAGTGATTTTACATGCATGTTAAATTGCTTATGTAAGAAAGGATAATAAAGAAAATTTGTTAGATGAATATTTGCCTTAATAAGTCGAGTATACTGTGCTTAGATGCTACCAGGAGAGCCTGTCTAGGAGAGTAAAGCAAAGGAACAAGGAGCGGCACCTCTAGGCCTCACCTGTAGGATTTGGGGGCTCTGGCGCCCTCTGCTGACAGTTTAACAAACAGTCTCAAGCCCAGCACCCCTCTGTCTAGCACAGTGACCCTGTTTCAGCTCCAGTATTCCAACTGAAAGCATCATATACGTGTTCCATGCCCATTCCTACCTTAGGACAGGCCAAATACGTGCCTGGGTCACAGAAGTTTGCTGTCGCAGCTAATCCTCAGCCCACTCCTTATCAGCGTCTGGCCTTTCACGTATACAGGAATGCAGAGTCTATTGCTCACCTGGTTTGCTCCTCAATGCTGACAAGTGCCTGACAAGGAACGCCTAGCTGAGCTGTGACAGCAGTGACATGGCCATGATGGTCAAGGTTATGTGTCAGCCTCGCAGGCCAGGAACCTCACGTTTTGGCAGTTACCTTCTGACGCACTTCAACAGCTGTGTGAGGACACACTCACCCCCTCATTTTCCTGTCTGATGTCATCATCTTCCACGTTCTCAGAGCACTGATCTTTACATCACAACCTAATCTTTGGAATCTAACTGAGCTGCTGAGGAGTGGGTGTACTATTTAATCAGTGCCTGAGTTCTGGAAACATCTAGATGTTAAATATGATGTTATCTGACAGCTAGGCGGCCAAGCGGCAGACGCAAAGATGCAGATCTTTGTGAAGACCCTCACTGGCAAGACCATCACTCTTGAGGTCGAGCCCAGTGACACCATCTAGAATGTCAAAGCCAAAATCCAAGACAAGGAGGGCATCCCTCCTGACCAGCAGCGCAAACAGCTAGAGGATGGCCGTACACTCTCAGACTACAACATCCAGAAAGAGACCACCCTTGATCTGGTGCTGCATCTCCGTGGTGGCATTACTGAGCCTTCCTTGCGCCAGCTCGCCCAGAAATACAACTGCGACAAGATGATCTGCCGCAAGTGTTATGCTCGCCTGCATCCCCGTGCTGTCAATTGCCGCAAGAAGAAGTGTGGGCACACCAACAACCTGCACCCCAAGAAGAAGGCCAAATAAGAGCCCTCTCTTCACTGGCTCCCTTGCCTCTTGCAGGTGGTCTTCTTCTGAGCCCCATGACCCTGGGCCCTCAATAAAGTCTCTTTCATTGAACTGAAAAAAAAAATATGATGTTATCTATGTTGGCTGACATGAATCCTGTCTTTGATGCTAACTTCTTTAGCACAACACCACTGGGCAATCTGTAGCCTTGGCATCGTATTGCTGCATCAGTATCCCTGGAACCCAGGTCCTGGCCAAAATCTTTGTATCCTTCCTTTCCACCTCTACCGAGTGGGTCTAATCGTTCAGCATCTATTTGTGTGATTACAGTGAGGACCACAAGTCATATACTGCCAATACAACGTACATCTTCAAGATTAGCCATCATCTCTTTTTTGCACACTTGATTCTAGAATGTTGTTGTTACTACATATAATCAAGTCACCTGCAACTCATAGAGATCCTATGTACAACAGCTCTGAAGCCTGCCTTATCCTGAACCAGTCTCACTTTCTCTGACACACCTACACTCATTGCTCCAATTACAATGTCAATCCATCTTATTCAGCGTCTTGCTCTCTTGCACTGTCCCTCCATCTTCCAAGCATGATGTCCTTCTCCAAAGGATAGGTACCTCCCAGTCACATTCCCAAAGTATGTGAGATGAAGCTTCTAGAAAAGCTTCTTTGAATGGGGTATAAACAGTCTCATTTACTGAAGATAGTCATGTTTGCCCTTTTTCTGAAAACATTAGGCCATTTCTCTTGGTTACTGGGTTTCTAAAAAGATAAGCAGGTGATACAAAATGGGAGAACAGGGATGAAAGTGCATAAATGAATTAGAGATGTGAGGTACATCCTGTGGTTCCTTTCTAAAGGACTAGCCAAGAGACATTCACTCTGGTTTCTCTGTTTGTTTGTTTTTTTTTAAAGCATGTCCAGCTCTCTCATGAGTTTGAGGCACTGGTGCGCCAGGATCCCCGCTTCGAGATCTGTGCTGAAGTCACTCTGGGGCTGGTGTGCTTTCGGCTAAAGGTATATTTACATTATTTCCTTTTACTGTGTATCTTCTCCAAGCGTGACAAGGCAGATGATGTAACTCATGGCTTCTCTGCTTAAATCTTACAATGTTTGTTCCTGAGGCTACTGCCTGAAAGTCCTCCTCAGCCTCATTCCTGTCTTCCTGTTCAGTGGACCTGTGGGTGCTGGTTGGGCAGGTCTTGGTCCTAGAATTCTCACCTTTTTTCACCTCTGGTCCTGCCTTCCACCTCCCTGGATGCTCACAGTACGTAGTGTGAACAAATCCAGTGTCCACAGAGATCAACAACAATAGCATCATCTGCATACAGGTTGGAAATGCCAAGTTTCAGGCCTACTGAACCTATATTTGAACAAGCCCCTGGGTCATCTGTGCATTCACAAGGGTGTGGGTAGTGCTGGTCCTTGGCATACCTACACTTGCAATGCTGTTTGCATTCTCTGTCATGGCAGCTCGTGCAGAACATGATGACTGCGTTTGCTGGAGGCTCTGATGTGCAGCTTGCACAAGCAGCCTCACACCACCTCATGGACCATTCAGGTGGCTTTTAATTAGTAAATTTTCCCTTTCCCAGGAAGATTCTGCTTTTCAATCAAAGAAGTCAGGAAGAGTGACTGTAACTCTGCTCAAAAGTGTTGCCACGGGCACTGGGCCTGGATGCTGCCCTTACCCCTTCTTCCTCCTTACCTGGTTCTTTATTAGTTACTGGTTTGTGCCACCAACTAGGAGCCAACTCATAAATGATCCTCCAGTGGTTTTTCAGAAGCTGTAAATTGCACAGGAGATTGTCCATCTTTCTTCAGAGCAGCTAGTGGATTAAAATTGTGTGCCTTTGGGATGGCACAGACAACCAGAGCTACCTTACCTGGTTAAACCCTTACCCTTACCCTGACTAACCCATCAGAGCTTCCTTACCTGGTACTTAGAGCTTTGAAACAACAATGATATAATCAATGAGAAAGTCTAGATGCTGTAGAGATGGTGCTTGCCAGGGGAGAGGAGCTGGGAGAGCTTGTGGCAATGTTTGGCAGAGCAGGGAATGGTCTCCTACAGGGATGAGAGTAGAGCCTGTGTGCAGAGAAGCCTAAGAAGATTGCCACATCTTTTTCCCGTGGAGCAACTGGTGGGTTCAAACCACCAAACTTCCGGCTAATAGTTGAATGCTTCATCATTTATCCACCCTGCATGCGTCATTGTCTTCGGACTTGTTTATTCTAGACATTTCAAGTAAATGAAATCAAGCAATATGTTGTATTTTTGTACCTGACTTCTTGTTTTTATTTTGTTCTCCTATATTTGTGGCTTTAATGAATTACTTAGGGAGCTTTGGTGGCCTAATGGTAAGAAGCTGAGCTGCAAGCCCCAAAACACAGCAGTTTGAATGCACTAGCTGCTTCACAGGTGAAGGATGGACAATCTCCTCCCAGAGGGTTAGTTATGAGTCAGTTCCAACTTCAAGGCACACAATAACAACAATTTGTGGCTTAGTGGTGCAGAGTAGTCCTACCAATCTAAGGACACATGATTTGAATCCACTAGTTGCTCTGCTGGAGAAAGATCTACAATCTCCCCTCCTGAGATTAAAATTGCTGAAATCCCTGGGCAGTCAGCTATGATTTGATACTGACTTGATGGCACACAACAACAATTTACTATTGAATGACTGGTTTCCTTTCTCTGTCCTTGTCTGGGCTCGCCCTCAGTAGGTCTACTCCACATTTGTACAGTTCTTTTTTGTTTTAATTCTTATTTCATCTCAGACTGTTTTATTTGTGTACCTTCCTATTTCTGCTTACCCTAAGTTGTGCTTTCTCCTACCTGTTTGAAAATGACAAGAAATTTTTTTCTAAATGAATTGCTTTCATTTTTTACATTATCAAATTTTCAGATCTTTGCTCTCTGCCAAGACTTTTTTGACAAAATCTTGTTCTCATATCGCCTTTTATTTTCCTCTATCTTCATTCTTGAACACAACACAAGTTTTTCCAGACTCCTTGTATGCCAGCCATTTCTAAATTGCCTTTGGCCCAATCCATTGCCCACTTGGAACTGGTGGACATTCCCCTCAGTTCACTCTAAAACGTTCACTGTCACCATGCTATTCATCTGCTCTGGTTCAGACAAGAAATACTGGTCTTTTCTAATCCCACCTACCCTTTCTGCTTCTGCAATCGTGAAACTAGGCAAGAGGACAGCACCAGTCCAGTAAGAGGCTCATGACCTGAGGATGAAAGATGTAGCTCCACTTCCTGTCCCTCTTCCACTTGAACCACACAGCTCGTACTATTGTCACTATGTCAAGGGGGATGATTTCCAAAGAGGTCCAAGGGTCTCTTTGAGTAAAAACAGCAAAGTTCTAACTCGAGTGTGAGGCTTTGATAGAACACTGCCAAAGAAAAACATCAAACAAGAGTAAGCAAAAGAAACAGAAGTTTATTCATAACGTTCAAAACAGACGATGAGCAGATCAGGACAGATTGACCCTTTCCTTACCCTATATGTGAGTGTGTATATACATATATGTATACATATATTTATGTATACGTGTATTTATGTATACATGTGTTTATGTATACATATACATATATATATACACATATATATAGGTTGTTCTTGTTATGTGCCGTCGAGTTGTTTGCGACTTATAGCGACCCTATGCACAACAGACCTAAACCCTGCTCTATCCTGCGCCAACCGCACTGCCTCTGACACACCAATCCCAATTACCCCAGTCACTGAATCAATCCATCTCATAGAGGGTCTTCCCCTCCTGCGCCGTCCCTCCACCCTTCCAAGCATGATGTCCCTCTCCAAG